CATGTTTTACCGACAATTCTCCTACATCGTAACATTGATATGGTGCCTTTCCTGTATATGTTATTAATATGACCTTTCCAATCAAGTTTCCTGTCAAGTGTCACACCAACGAATTTGATTGAATCCACTAACTTTAATTCTATGCCCTGACATTTAGGATTTTTAAAATTACCTAATATTCTTCTCCTGCTAAACATTATCAATTCTAGTTTAGCTGGATTAATTGATAAACCTTTGTCACAACACCACCCATAAAGTAATCCCATGGCGTTTTCCATCAGTAGTGAAAGAGTCAGGCGATCCCTACCTGTGAGCATTATGGTACCATCATCTGAAAATAATTGACTGTAGAAGCCTGAGTTATTCAGAAGTTCTATTAAGCTGTTTACTGTAATTAGCCATAAAAGAGGAGACAAACAGCCTCCCTGTGGACAGCCTCCTTTTACATTAATTCTAAGAGTGCTACCACCTAAGCACATATTGACCATCCTCCCCTCCAAGTAGGTCTTCACCCATCTAGTAAGGTGATGGTCGACATTGTAATTATATAATGCTGATATAATGCAAGAAGTATCAGCATTATCAAACGCCCCTTGGATATCGAAGAAGCAACCTAGTGTATATACACTATTAAATAATGATTTCTCGATCCTGCCTATTAGTGAGTGCAAGGTAGTTTCCACTGATTTTCCTGGTACGTAGGCATGCTGATTGGGGTGAATCATTGTATTAATTCCACAATCATGCCTAATATATCTATCTAAAATTTTCTCTATAATTTTTATGAAAATAGAAGATATACTTATAGGTCTATAAGATTTAGGTAATTGATATGAGACCTTACCTGGTTTGGGTAAGAAAATTACCCTTATTTCCTTCCAGCATTTTGGTATATGTCCCAATGCCAGACTACTCCTTAGGAGATCCCAAACTGTCCTAGATAGATTCGGTGTATCCTGTTGAAGGAGGGCAGGGAATATTCCATCCACCCCGGCTGCCTTGTATTTCTTGAAGGCCGCCCATTTATAGGCCTCCCAGGAAATTACCTCATTAGCCTTATTCCAGTTTGGTGTTGGAGTTCAACCCCAGCTGGGATAGTAGAAGAGTCTGACCTGGGGAAATGAATTCTGGCCATCAGGTTCAGGGTCTCCTCGCAGGATGTAGTGTACACCCCATTATCATCCTGTAATAAACCTAACGGATTAATATAATCCTTTTCCAGAAGTTTAAAAATACGAGAACTTTCCTTAATTGTTTCTGTTTCCAAGCAAAAGTTCCTCCAGGCTTTACGCTTGGTTTTCCTTAACTCTTTTTTATACTATTTCTTCATGGAGATAAAATCCCTCCAGTATGGTTCAGAGTTCCACTGCTGTGTTTTTTATGTAATGCTTTGACCCTTTTCCTTAAACTAGCCAGATCTTTATTCCACCAGTGATGTCGGTTCTGGCGTAGTATTTTTTCAGGACACGCTTCTACATATGCAGAGTTTCTGACCTGTATAATGTTATTAGCACCCTGCTCCACTCTGTAAAATTCGAAGGAGTAGGTATGCAACCTGTGATATTGTTAATAATATTAGTATAGGTTTCCCAGTTTGTTAGTTTAGGATTCCTAAACCTTATTTTGTTGACTTCTCCTGAGATTTTGAAAGCAATGATACAATGATCTGAGGAGATCTTACCTGGTGTCACCTTCCACTCCGTTACCCAATTAGCAATTGGCAGAGAGGCTAGTGATACATCCAATTCTTCCCTTCTGTTTTTTTGTTATGAAAGTGGGAGTGCTGCCTGCATTCAGGATGGATAAATTTCTGCTTAGTACAGCTTCCAAGAATGAAATACCTCTTGCATTGTTGTCTGTGCTACCCCAAGCTAGGTTGTGTGCGTTGATATCACAGCCCAGAATAAGATCTATATTATTATCGTCGCAATATGATATAAGTTCCTTTACTGCCTCAGTTGGACAGTCCTCATCATGGGGTAAATATGCACTTGCCAAATACAAAGTTGTGTGGCTCCCCCTTCTCCTAAAATCAATTGATATAGTTATGATGTCCCTTGAACAAAATCAAGTTATAGGGATTGGTTTTAATTCCCTATGGGCCACAATGCAAGCTCTCGGCCTGTCATGCCTTAGATCCCGAAACAGTTCAAAATTTTGATTTTTTAAACCGATTACTTGTCCCCTATAGGTAAAGGGTTCCTGTATCAGATAAATCAACGTTTGCAGCACAGTCATGTCCCTACCGATTTCGGCCGTGGCAATCTTGCTGTGCTGCATATTGATTTGTGACATCCTGAGAGGTCTCACGATTAATTCATGGTAATTACCTGGGGGTTTCGTCTTTGTTTGAACCTGTCCCTGAGGGCAGGTTGAAACAAGGACGAGGACCCAACCTTATGAGACTTGTAGCGATCCTTATTGTGCTCAAACCTCGCCCTCCTCTCTTACCTCTTTTGCTTTTAAGTTTTAACCAGGGTGAATCCCTCGTCTTTATCTCCCTGTACCTGAGGGGGAGCAACCCTGTCCCTTTCACAGCCCTCCAAATTGGTGCTGCCGGTAAGGAAGGATTGCTCTCCATATTCGTGTTGTCTCTAACTATTGCTTCCGATACCTTTCCACCCATTCGAGTGAAAAAGACACTCGTCAACAGCAGAACACAACATTCGCCGTAGACACGTGGTTTACAGGCATGTAACCTCCCGCGCGGTTCATGGCCAAGTTTTGCACTAGTTACGGTCGATAAAGAACCCCATGCCTTCTTCAAGGCTTTGTCACCCAAAGCCAGAAGCATCGACCTTTTAATTCACATACTGCAAAAATTTACAAAGGACGCCACGACGTCGTCACTCCCTTTGCGTTTTAAGCCCTTGAATAACTGGTTGGAACGAATACACAGCCCACCTGGTCGATAATTATGTTCTCCATCTCAAAATTATTGTTCTTTGGTCTTTTTCACTCTCCCTCTCCATAATTTGGTCTTTGGAATTTAACGAGGACATAGACTGATGAACTTTCTTTAACCCAGTTTTGCTCTATTCTCTATTATTTTTCAAGACATTGGTGGAAATTGTCCTGGATTTATTAAAACAACTGACTGGAAAAATCTCCGAACACGACTGTCTATCATCGGTCGACCATGTCGTTATTCGTTTTATAATTCTTCTTATCCTTTTCCTATTTATTATTCATTGGTCCTTTTTCACCTTACCTCACCTTAATTTTGTCTTTGGTATCAGACCGGTCAGGGTCCGGCGAAATTCTCTTTAACACCGCCTTACTCTCCTCAGGTAAGCATTTTTTATCGCGGTTTCTCAATGGTCACGGTGTCCGACTCGTATTTGTCACGCTAGGGGTCTGGGTTCGAATCCCAACACAGCACACTGAATTTTATTTGAGAATTTTGGAAAAAAGTTGTATATGACAGCAATTACTTTTCTTTAGTCACGAAATAACATAAAATTGCGATATCAGCGGATGTAAATATCAAAGAATATTACCACATCATTATAAAACATAATTGTTTAAATAGTTAAAATATAAAAAATTAATTCAGCCAATGTTAAAACTTTAAATTTTAAAGATAAAGTAAATTAAATTTGCCCGACAAACTAAGACAAATAAGAGACGAAAGGCGAATTAGAAAAGAAAATAAATAAAAAGAAATTCTCGCTTTTACTCAGCAAACATAAAAATCATCGTTCTTTCACATTGCGTGGCATTGAATTGTGAAGAGAGGAAACAAAGAGGCGTACTTTTGAATAGTGAACGACCTTCTCCGGCGTTATTGTACGTTTTGCTATTCGGAAACAACGAGCCTAAATAAAATGGGACAACTTTCCTCCTGGGACTTTCCTTTGATGGAATTTCATCGTGCGATATTTCATTCCGTTGCTTGTGCAGTATAAAATAAGGTTAATCTAGTTTTGCCAGTCAACTTATGCAAATCTGATCTGTTCTGCAATCGTCGCAGAGCCTAACGGCAGAACTGCAAAACCTAGGATGTTTTAGGACTAGGATGATGATAGGACTGCTGATTGGGCATTGTAGACTCCAAAGGCATGTGTATATCCTCAGAATACCAGAAACAGCCTATCCAGAAAGAAGCCGGCAGAGATTTCTTTTCCTCGGGAAAAGCCAAGACCTGAAGATACACACGGGAACTCTTAACAAAACTTAACTAAACACGCTTAAGAAAAGATACGACATAATAATGATGATAGCACAATAGACCAGCGTAGGTTCTGGTACCCAAGGAGAAGAGGAAAAAGCAGACTCATTATATCCTACAATCTGTAACCTTAAACAAACAACTGTAACCTTCTAAGATTCGCCAGTGCCTTCTATATCGACATGCCATCTTGATCTAGCAAACATTCAAGCGTCACAACCACATCAGGTTGTTTAAAACACTGTATCAGTAACAATTACAGCTTTCTAAATTTTTCGCCGGTGCCATCTTCTTCTTACATTAGCAGGATGAAATTCCTACTCCTGTGAGAAAAATCCAGGTCGGAAGGACGCACACGAGTAGCCTTTAAGAAAGCTATGGAATCCGATAACAGCTTAACGAAGAGTTCTAGATAATAAGCACAATAAGCTTATATTGGTCGTGGTATACAAAGAGACTATAATCTTCTATCTTACTTAATCCTATGTTACTATCGTAAAATCTATAACCTAAAATAAACAGTTATAGCCTTCAGAGATTCGCCAGGGCTATCTAGACCTGCCTTCTAGATACACACGGTAATTGTTAACATTCTTAACAAGCTTTGGGTTCTGATAATAGTTTATCAAAGAGTTTTAGATAATAATGAGCACAATGGACCAATATTGGTCGTGGTGCGTAAGGTTCTAAAAAAGGACGACTCCTTTGTACCTTAGCCTTAACCTTCAAGTAGACTGCAAGCTGAGATATACGTATATTCAATCCGAAAACACGAAAATGATATTTCATTGTTTTTAATAATAATCTAAGTAAATATAAAGTCACTAACCTTTATTCTCTCAGACTTTGTGTCATCTTCGTCCTCACTCAATCCAAAAGTCGTCGTTTAAAGGGTAAAGTCCTTCAGTAACCTGCGAATAAAAAATGATTATATTACATGTGTGACATCTTGAGCGGGAATCAAGGAGAAACTTGAGAACTGGGAATGAATTTAAACCCAAATGAAATTTTAAATTCGATCCGATAAAATTAGTAGATGAACGATCCGAAAGCTGATCATTTAAAAATTTGAAAATATCATGTATCAATAATTTACAAAGAATGAAATTAGTTTCAATTTTTTTTTAACCACATAAGGTAAACAAAAGCATTTACCACTGATAGAATCATTGTTTTTAAAGAAAACGAGCTCGAGTCCTAATGGCAACTTACTAGGTACCATTCAAACCGACGACTATACTAAAAACTGTACTTCAAAGTAACGGCTGAACGATTCCAGACATTCATAATAACCTTACAACTGAGGATAAATCACGTTAGATAGCAACCCGACGCATCCTTTCCTACCATAATACTTCCCTTCCACTTCGTAATGACGACGGATCATGGGCCAAGTCAAATGAAGAAAAACCTTCATAATAGATCTTGATCATACAAAAACATAGAGAAAGAACTACTCCAACCACTACCACTTTCCATTCCCCCAAAAATTTTCATCCTTCAGGAATTCGGTACGTCATTGAAAACATTCCCAAAAAGAAAACTCCTAGATATGACCTTACAACCCTAAAAAATCTTTGATCCCTCTCTAAAAAAAAGGAACTTCTTCCTAACATACCTCTAAAAGCTGTCCTAAGAACTCACTTTCCTTTAGAATGGATGCTTTCCATTGTAAAAATGATCCCAAATCCTAATAAACCTAATCATTTACCTCAATCCTACCACCTGTTAAGCCTCTTACCTATTCTCGGAATAATCCTCGAAAAGCTCTTCTGAAAATAATTCTTCCTATCCTATATTATCCCATCTCACCTGTTTGGCTTCAGTAAACACCACTCCACCAATCCACTGCATGTTGTAGAGAATGTAGCATGTATGTATGTAGACTTGTATAGAATCTATTCCTCTCTTGATTTGAAACAGTGCTGCTCGGGTACTTGCCTTGATATGGCTCAAGCCTTGATAGGGTCTGGCATCAGGTATAATAAACCAGAAAGCTGCAGTGCCTGGGGAGTGAAAACCCCCTTCCTAGTAAGGCCTGGCATCTGGGTTTGCTGTGAAACCTCAAGAGCATACTTCTTTTCACCTATTTCCTCAAATTTCGCTTATAACTGACTGACCGCTTATTTCTCTGACATCCTGTTAAGGCTGGTCCCCCACAGGGTAGTATCCTTGACCCCATCGTTTATTCAACGTACACGGCTGACTTCCCTACCCATTCCGATACCTTCATTTAAACTTTTGCAGACTGCTATTCAACGTCCAGTAAAGATCTCGCCTTCTCACGTCACTACCAACAGGCTCACCTTATCAAATAGAACCTCGGCTGAAAAAGTTGCACATAAAAATAAATGTAGACAAAAGCCAGCATATAACTTTAACCTCCGACGTAGAATAATAATACCACCACTATACCTACAGCATATATCCCTTCCTTTAGTTAACCATCCTCTACCTCGGGCTGTATATCGACCAACTGACTAGGAATCCACCCACAAGACTAAAAAAGCAGCAACTCCCTAGAAGTTACAAAACATTTTCAAGACTTCTGGACAAATTATCAATTATCGTCAACAGTGACGATTCACAACAAACGACTGATTCACGAGACGATACTTAAACCCATTTGGACATACTGTATTGAACTGTAGGGTTCAACCAAACAATCCAACTATAATCGCGTCCAGATTTCCAAATCCAAAATTCTCCAAAAAATAGTAAGCTCCCTTCTAAGCATCTAATCACACAATTCACAACGATCTTCAAATCCCTTTTGTAAAATATGTCATAAAATCCCGATACACAAAATTCTACAACTCCCTTTCATTACACCCCAATCCCTTACATTACCCCCCTAGCAACTTGTTGGACAGCTAGACCAGCACGTAGACCTTGCTTTATTTTATTTAGTTTTATTTTATAGTGCCGGATTTTTTTTTAAACATATAATTAAAATTACACCATAGCGGAAATGTAAACTAAATATAAATATCTAATAAAAAGGTGAAAGAGCTGTCAGAGAGTGAGAATGAATGAATACCGTTTTTTTTTTAATCTTGCAAAGGAGAGGGATTGAGGGAGNCGAGAGAGAGAGAGAGAGAGAGAGAGAGAGAGAGAGAGAGAGATGTACATATATATATTTACATAAATGGAAAGATGATTATACAGAAAAATAAATAAATAAAAAGAGAGTAAGGGAGAGTGAAAAAGTAAGAGAGAAAAAGAAAGATGGATAAAGAGAAAAAGGAAGATATAAAAAATAAATATAGAGTGAGGGAGAGAGAACAGGGAGTGACTGAAAAAGGGAAAGAGAAAACATAAAAAGATCAATGAAAAATAGAGAGAGAGAAATAGAGAGATAAAAGGTAGAGAGAACAGAGAGGGAAAGAGTGGGTTAAAAAAGAGAGGGAGAGAAAAATATAAAGATGGATATACAGAAAAAGAAAGAAAGAAAAGAAAGAGACAAAGGAAAGGGAACGAAAGTGATAAAAAGAAAGTGAGAGAGAGTGAGAGAAGGATGAAAGTGGAGAGAAGAAAAAGAAAAAGAGGGGGAAAGAATGTGATAAAGAAAGAGGGAGAGAGAAAATATTAATATAAAGATGGATAAAAAGAAAGAGAAAAAAGAGATATTGATAGGTAGATGGATGGATAGATAGCTAACATATAGTTAGATAGATAGAGAGAGAAATAGAAAAATAATAAAAAACAGAATTTCTTATTTTCACATAATATTTAGAGGTCTGTCTGAGTGTTTCTTGTATCAATTATTAAAAATTAAGTAATCATACTATTAAAACTTATAAAATTACATGATAGAGAATGAAAAGGTTCGGTCACTTTGGATAAAACCAGTGAAACCAGGCTGTCCAAGGTATAAAAGTAAAATGACTAGAAAAATGGAAAAATAGAAAAAACGCTAAATTAACTGTTGCGAAGAAAGTACTGTGTTGTAGTTAAGTCGTCTCCCGTAATCCTGATCAGCCTAATCTCGATGTGTTGTTCCGTGAGAATTATTCCTAAATTTAGCCATTAAATACGGAAAAGATACATCACAATATTCAAACAATGTTACCATAAAAACTAAAAAATACAGAAAAAAGCATAATATTGCAGTGTTCAAAAAAGGGTCAGAATTGGCAAGAGGCTGTATTGATTGTTGTTGCAAGAAAGTAGTTATGTGTAGTCTGCATGTCCGGTCATCCTGGTCCACCCATTCTCGCTGTTTTACTCATTCAGTAGCTTTCATTTCGGCATTTCGCCCATATCAAAGCTTGGTCTGTGTTTTTTTTTGTTGTTGAAACTTATCAAACCTTGCGATTTGCGAAATAAAAATTGGATCCTTTCGGCCTTTTTTAGCACAGGAAGATAGTAGGCGACCAAACTAAACGACCGTTACCGCGATAACTCGAAAAAGATATCACAAATCAAATTGTATGGGAACTAAACACTTAGGGCGCAAAGTGATAATTATTAAATCAGACACCCATTCTTGGTGACACTAGACATCACTACATGATCAGGAACGACATGAGAAACTATATGAAAAAGAAGAAGAAGAATTCCGGAAGAAATCAGATACAATATGGTATACAGATGGCACCAAAACAATAGAAGGAAGCCAATCAGGCGTCCTGTACAAGTCCAAAATATGAACATTCAAACTCATTAGGTACACCTCGGTCTTTAAAACTGAAATGCCATCAATGCTCCTGCCTTAGAAAATCTTAAAAGAGGTTACAGTAACAAATAAATCTTCATAAGTTCGAATGGCCAAAGCATTAGCATATAAAAAACTAAAAAAATTTAATCAGTGAATTCATCCAATACCTGGGGAAATACTGCAGCCTGATGATATCCTGAGTGACCGTTTTTTGTGTGACCAGGACAAATAAGAATTTTGGGTAACGAAAAGCAGGCACATTAGTAAGAAGAGGATCTGCAAGATTCTTAGGATAACAAAAACAAACATAGAATTATCGATCACAGAATGGATACATAAAGGCAAAAAGAGAAGTAGAGAAACTCTAGAGACACAGTAACTTATGGTAAAACAACCCTCACCAAGGCAAAAGCACTGCTACTATGCGAGAGGGCTAAGAGGAGTGATAGGACATTGATATCTGTGAAAACATAAATATAACATGGGTATATTCATGTTTGTAGATTATGCAATGAGGAGGAAGAAACAGCCATATCATCTTCGAATGCAAATCAATTGCTCAATGCAGACATAACCTAGGATACAAAGAAATCCCGGGGAAAGGAATTGTAGCAACGACAGTCAATGGGCTAGTACTCATTAGGAGAAAGATCGGGTAGATTGCAATGAACAGAGGAACTAGGAAAGTACAATAAGCCAGAAGTCTGGAGTGCTTGGGGAACAAAAAAAACCGACTTTTCATTATCATCATCAAATGTCACAAAGCAGACAATCGATTGTACAAAGCCTTATTTACATTTTTCAGTGCAGCTATAATTTTTATTGTAATGAAATTCTTACCATTGAGACTACCATCCAGTTCAGAAATCCATTTGGGATCATCGGCAGAAATGGACAGTCGAAGAATCGGAATGTTCAGACATCATCTGCAAATTGAACAAACTGTAATTTCACATGTTTGCAAAAAAAACATAAATTATAATGTTTCGTTATCGTGTCCTACTCTTCTGGCCAGCCATTTTAGTCATGATTCGACATAATTTAATATTTATTAATCTTTAAAACTGTTCAATTGGTCAATCAATCGATTTCCAACCCTGAAAAGAATTTAACCTTACATGATCGGTTATATGTCATAAATGTCGATTCCGAGATTTAAGAAGCACTGTGCTAACCTTTCGAATATAATGATGAAAGGTTTGTAAATGTCACGATTAAAACATGGTAATGTATAGTAATTAACTTCGCTGCGGTATGGAATACCACTGGAGGGAGGGGGAGCAACAATTCACCAGGAGAAATTGAAAGGAAACAAAGCAGACCTTGGCTTCAGCATGGACAATTAGGTCAATGGTCAACAAAACTGATTACACATTTTACTGAGCGAGCAATGTGTCGTTTCGAAAAAAAGCATTAGCTTTTATATTCCCCCATCTCAAATAATGACCCTTGAGCGTTTGCCGCAAAATTTTGAATTTTGTCTTTCCTACCCTCAGTAACTTGAGAAGTGACTTCACCCCGTTTACCCTTACAGACGCTCTTCGCTCCTAAGACCTCACTCCTACCACTGCTACAGCTCTTCCCACATACCACTGCTACGCTCTTCCCTCCTACCGCTCCTACAGCTCTTCCTCCCTACCTCTCCTACTCTTCTTCGCTCCTACCCCTCCAAGAACTCTTCTATCACACCACTCTTACAACTCTTCCCTCCTACCACCCCTACAGGTCGTCAGACCTACCACTCCTACAGCTCTTCCCTCATCAATCCCTACAGCTCTCCACTCCTACAGATTTTCTCTCCTCCTCTCCTGACACACCTACAGCTCTCCACCCCTACCGCACTCCTAACTGTTTGTGTGGTAGTTAAAGGTTATGTCTACGAAATGTCTAACTGACGAACTGTTCAACCTTGCGATGGCACACCGAAATCATAACACCCAGCCAAAGTTTACCATAGGAATTATGGCAAAATAAATGTGGGGAGCGCGACAAAAAAGAGCTGATTCATTTCTCTGAGTGAGAGGTCTTGATCCGATCCTTAAAAAGAGTCGTTTTTCTAATCTCTAATGGACAATGAAAGTAAAGTCGCAGATGCGTGGGTGGCGGCAACCGTTAAGGCGTTGACATAGCGCTCATCACCTTAAGATGAAGGTCCCGGGTTCGAGTCCAGCGTTCCCGACAGACTTACAATGCTACAAGAGCTTTCGACTGTGGTTTCTTTATGTTCACATTACTCAACTTCAAAAAAATGCGTTTGTAACAATAATCCTATTTATCAGAATCATTATTTTTTAAGGAAAATCGGCCTCGTTAAATTTGAATTTTCTACCTTAAGCAAAAGTAATAGTTTTATCTTTCACACGAGCGTTTTAAATTTGGTTGAACGATTATGACGCAAAAGCACTTATTTGCACGCTCCTGTGATAATTTTAAACCGCAGCTGGTTCAATTCTCTAGGGCGGTTGAATAAATTTCTGCGTCTCCTTAGTGCTATTTAAAAAGATATATATTGAAACAGGTTGGCATTAAAGAAAGTCAGCCAGACTAGCGTTACATCACAATTCCCGTTACTGGCAATCACCTCAAGAGCTAGAATTACAGAAAAAAAAACTTCGAACTTCTTTTTCAAATATTTCAAAATCAAAAACCAAAACTGGCTGAAGACAGGAGAAAGCGGTACAAAATAGTTTTAAAAATGTATTTCCTGTCGTAAAGGTCTTACAATCCTATAATATTTTTTCATATAAATTTCAATTAAAAATTTCATGAGCTATGAGAGGGGATTCGAAACGAGCACCTCTAGCGTTGTTCCGAAAAACCTATGGACATTCCTGGAGGATTTGATCCTGACATTTTCCTCGTGAAAGATACAATTTAATTTAAAAAAGTGGAATACTGTGTTAAAACTTAATAGCCATGAATTTTCATTAGAGAATAATCGTTTTATAAATTTTAGTTTTAACACAGCCGTTAGGAACTTCTAAACTGAAAATTTACTACACCTTATTTATTTAACTTTACCACGGCCATAAAGTTGTTTATTTTACTATTTTACAGTCGAGACTGTCAAGTTGTTTGGTAATTGTTGAACAAATGCATTAATATTTGGCAAGAATAATGTTATAACCTCACAAAAAAATTCAAATTTTCTCTTGGTACATTTATGTAGAGGGATGAAGTTGTAGGATGATCCATAAATTAATAATTACATTCTCACATATATCCATCCCTCCCTCTCTCTCTCTCTCTCTCTCTCTCTCTCTCTCTCTCTCTCTCTCTTTCTCTCTCTACCTCTCTCTCTCTATATGTGGGTTTCTACCCCTATAATTGGAAAAAATCGTACATAATTCCCGTTCCTAAAACTGTTCCACCAGAAGATTGTTCATCATTCAGACCTATAAATATTATACCAGTATTAAGCAAAGTCTTTGACAAATTAATATTCGAACAATTAGTTGACTTTATAGAGAAAAACGGCATCCTAAATTGTAATCAACATGCATATAGAAAAGGACACAGCACAGAATCTGCATTGGTCCAAGTTGTGGACGAAATAAAAAAAAATATAGATGACAGGAAGCTGACCATTTTGATATCATTGGATTACTCAAGG